CGGCCAGCTGCCCTCTCTCTGCGTCCACTCTGAGTGGTGGCCTGCTGTGAGGCTGCCCACGTGGTTTCTGCTGCCTGGGGATGCTGGGGATGCTCCCACACAGCCTGGAAGCTACTCTGTAGTCATGGCCCGCCCGCCCCAAGTTGTGATGGTGAAGAACTTTGGGGAGGAAGGGGAAGCAGCAGCGTGTTGGGGTGGGGGGTGAAGCAGGCCGTGTGGTGAGTGGGGTGAGGGAGCAGATGTCCCACGGCTGAGGGCTGGGGGTGGCGGGCAGGGACCCAGCCCATCAATGACTGGGTTTCACAGCATCAGCATTCCCAACATGCCGCGGGAATTCCTGCCGCCCTCTCCCACCCCACAGATGGCCCCTGCTGTCCCCACCCTCAGCAGAGGCCAGGGCCCGGTACAAAAGAGCCCTGTTCCCTCAGGGTCAGGGTGCCTCATCCTGGGGGGCTTCTAGAGGTAGGTGGGATGAAAGAAGAGTCAGGTGGTCCTGGCTGGGCTCGGAGCAGGGCCAGGAAGGACCCTGGGGTTGGGAGTTTGTGAGTCACTGGCACCCGGCTGCTCTGTGGGTCGCCCCAGGGTCAAAGCCATGGTTTCAAGTGGCTGCCTTGCCTGGCCTTCACCGCCCTCTTCCCACGGCACGGACGCATGCACAGTCAGACACATGCAAATGCCGGTCTGAAATGTGACAGATCTAGACCCAACCAGAAGGAACAGGCTCACACAACAGCGACACAGGCACACACCCGGGCAGGGCAGCGAGCCCCCCTGCACCCACAGACTGCCCCCCCACACACAGTCCGGAGGCACCCCCCCACTGCCCTGCCTCCCACCCCCACACCGCGGGGATGACGTGGGCACACAGGCACACATGTGCTCACAAAGATGCACAGACCCGCACACACACATACACCAGGGGGTGGCCAAGGACAGACCCACCCGGATGCAGGCTGATGGACACACTGTGACAGGAAAGGACGGGGCCCCCCAGGAGGGCCGGTTACAGAGCCTGGGCACACCTGGGATGCAAGCGGGAAAACCACCTGTTTGTAATGGGGGCAAAGACTGGTTCTTGTCTTAGCTGTTAGGGTGAGCTGTGACTCTCTGAAGGCCCACAGTTCATAAACACATACACTGTACGTCTGAGGTCGTAAAATTTCACGGTGGGATGGGATTAGGAAAGAGCTCTAAAATTGTGCCCTAGTGGAATATAATGAAAACAAGGCTGATGTACATGGAGGCTCACCCAGGGGTGGTGCGTGCGTGCACACGTGCGCGCGCGCACACACACACACACACACACACACACACACACACCTGTCATGCGCCCCGTTGCTAACATGGCCTCACTCACAGCTCTTAGCCCCCACAGCTCTCTGCCCCTGCCCCCTCACAGATGGCAGGATCCCTACCCATCCCTCTGCTCCTCTTCCAGCCCCAGACCACCGTCCCCCCCAGTCTGCCCCAAATTCAGGAGCCCCAGGGCAGCTGTTCCTGCAGACCCCAGGGATGCTGAGAAGACCCCTGCGTTCTTCCTCTCTGTGGTTCCTTCCCTAAGCCCAATCACTCTCCCTGCCACGGTCCCAGCCCATTCCTTGAGCTGTCCTGAGCAGCACCCTGCCCCATCCTAAACTAGTGGCAGCTCCCGGTGCCCATCCATGGCCCAGAGCACCTTGCCTCGCATGTGCTTCTGGGCCCCCTTTGCCCCACCCTCTCAGCCCCGGTCCTCTGCTCTCCACCCCGTCGCCGGCCCCTCTCGGCTGAGTACTCACTTGGATGTTCTTGCTTCTGTCCCTCTGCTCCACCAGCCCCGCTCACAGTCCCCTGGCCTCCCAGGGTCCAGGCCCCCACTTGCAAGCCCGTCCCCTCCCCCCGGGTGCCAGGGGCCGCCTGCCTCCAGGGCCCAGCTCCTCCCTGCCCCCGAGGGAGGGGGGCACAAAGGGGCCCTTGTCACCACTGCTGGAACTGGGCAGCCTGACGCCTGGGTTCTACTAGCTCCTTCCTGGAGGGGATGGGGGGAGGCAGCCTCACTTGCTTTCCCTCCTCCATCACTGTGCACCCTGGTCCTGGGCCCCTGGGAGGGTCTTCTAGTATCTCTGGAAGTCTCAGGCTAAGAAACAAAAGCATGGTTCTCAGTGTCTAGGGAATCTTGGTGGTCGGGACAGGTATGACCTCAGTCCAAAGAGGCCATTGAGGAGCTGAGCAGGAGAGAGGACCTGCCCACTCTTGGCTTCAGCGACTCCTCCACCCTCTCTTGAATCACGTCCCTGGACCACGTTTGGTGCCCACATCCTGGTCTCTTTTCCAGACTCTTCTTGCCATCAGAAATGACCTTATGCATTGATTGTCTCCTCTCATGAGAACATGATCTCCAAGAAGATAAGGGCTTTGCCGCCTAATTTCTAACCTGTTTGTAGAATGGCCCCTGGCAGCAGGCTAAGCTTCATAACCACAGGGTGGGTGCACACATTGTTCCTCAAATAGCCAGCGGCACCTTCTGACTGGCGACATGTGCGTTTGCTCCTTCCTCCTGGACAGGCCTCCCCACCCCATCCCGCACCCCACTCTGCCACGGGCCACAGCCCTGCACATCGATTAGGCTCTCAGCCCAGATGCCACTTCCTCTGGAGCCTGCCCTGCTGCTCTCACCACGCCAAGCCCCTCCGTTCAAATACTGCCCTTTCCTTCCACAGCCCTCTGTGCGTTTGCCGACCACACTCCGGAGGCCCTCCTTCCCCACTAGTATGGGAGCTCCCAGAGGGCTGGGTTTCTGCCTGTCTGTCTGCTTCACCCTCTGTCCCCTAGAACAGTGCCTGGTGCCCAGGGGGGCTTATGAAGCACGATGCTTGACAGATTCCCCACTCTACAGTAATCCTCCTTCCCTCCAGCCAACTGTTCCCCTTTGTCCTGACCTTTGCAAGGTGCTCGTGTGTGGGGGCGGTGGAGGGAGCCACGGTACTGTGATTAAGTGTAGTAATGGTTTGACCATGAGCTGCTCAGTCACATTGGGATATCTTCTGTCCTTTAGGCCAGAGTGGTTTTCGGGGAGTTGGGGGGGTCCTTTCTCCCAGGGGAGAACCCGGCCGGGGTGGGGAGGGTGAGGGGCAGGGAAATCCCTCAGACCCAAGTGTGCGGAGTCAGAGAAGGCTGGATGGAGGGGGAGGGGGAGTGCCACCCCCACCTCAGGCTTCATGATGTCAGACTCTGCCCGTGCCTTTCCCAGGCAGAGACAAAGGCCCATTGAGAGTGGGGTGGGGCTTGAACGCCTGGGTCCTAGAGAAGAGAGGGCCCTGGTGCCTGGGCTTTGGAGGAGGCCACTGAGATCCTGGGGTACTCCTATGTCACAGCCTTCAACCTCAACGCCAACCCCCTTGGAGTCATGGGCCTGCACAGTTTGGGGGTCCAGCCCCTCTCTAGGTGTAAACCGTAGGCTGTCCCTGGGGGCAGGACACACAGGCCAGTATGGGGCAACTGTCACTGAAATCTGCAATCCCAGGTCCCCAGGCCCCAGGAGGATGGGGTACTGGAGGCCCTATGCCTGGCCAAAGGGGGAGCCACTGCTCCGATCCAGCCGAGCCTTCGAAACCAGGCAGGTGTGACAGGGTACCACAGACTGGGTGGCTTACAAAACAGAATTTATGGTCTCACGGTGCTGGAGGCCACAATCTGACATCGAGTTTGGCAGGGTTGGTCCTTCTGAGTGCTGGGGGTGGTGGAAGGATCTGTTCTAGGCTCCTCAGCTCAGCTTCTAGATGACTGTCTTCATGTTCACATGGTCTTCTCCCTGCAGACAGGCCTCTGAGTCCAAATCCCTGCTTTTTACAAGGACAGCAGTCCTCTTGGATCAGGGCCCAACCTACTGACCTAATTTTAACTTGACTATCTCTATAAAGACCCTACCTCTAAATCAGGTCACAGTCAGAGGTACTGGGTGTTAGGGCCTCCACATTTAAATTTGGGAGAGTGGGGGACACACAGTTCAACTCATAACTCATGAACAGCGACACGGCCCGATGAGCTGAACACTGAAGACTCTTCTAGTTCTTTGGGTGTGACAAGCCCGTCTCCCGGTCCCTCTCATGGTCTAACCCAGGCCTCCCCATTGATATTCCACACTGGGCCCAAATAGCCAAGGCCATTTATCGCCTTGCTAATGCTGACGTTTTCTTAGGCGCTAAGAAGACAGTGAAATGCATTGTCTCTGTTTCTATCAAAAGTGGGGAAATGGGATACATTGATAGGGACATGGTTTCAAGAAGAACAGGAGGGAACTTAACCCCTTGGGGAGGTGAGCAGTCTTCTCCCGCGTGTCTCGCAGGATGGTATGTCCTTACTGAGCGGATGCCCCTTACCGTGGTCCTCTGAAACCCAGCCAGCACCCCTCATTCGGTCACTATGCCTGCCCGGAAAGCCAGTAGTTCTCAGACTTTTTGGTGTCAGGACCCCTTTCTACTCTGCAAAAATATCGAGGACTCCCCCAGAAATTTTGTTTATGTGGGTTCTATTTCTAGCTGCTCCACGTCTTAGAAACTCTTAGAAATGGAGACCAGGATATTGGGAAAGCACAGGGCACACGGGCACATAGCCTGTTCCTGTCAGAGTGATGAGGTGGATCCCACGTCACAGAGCCTGTTGACCTGCGACAGGAGTGAGAAAGGCACATGACATTCTAGTGGTTTCCACCTGGTGGAGCCCTGCTGGGGGTTCCCTGGACCTTACTTTGAGAACCCTTGTGAGGACACTGAATTTGCCACCCTTGTTTCAAGAAGGCTTTAGGGAGAGGACACCTGGTTTAACTTCTAGCCACTGCTGTTGCGACATCGGTTTTAAGTCTTCTGAAGAGGGGAAGGAAGGGAAGCGCAGGAAACAGATCTCCTTCGCCAAACCTCAGTGCCGACCCCAGTACCCACCAACCCCGCACACCTGGACCAGACAGGGGCCAGAAGAAGCCTCTGGCATAGGCCTCAGGCAGGAAGAAAAGACAACAGACACTCTAGTGTGGAAAACAACAGACAGAACCATTTTATTCCAAGTCTGGTCACAGAGTGTTGGAGGGCAAGGCAGATAAATACGAGGGTCGGGCAGGATAGGGGGGCAGGCCGGGGAGGCTCTATGTCTTGCAGCAAAACCCACACTTTGATCGCTTACAGCAGTTGCAGCAGAACAGGCAGATGGGGAAGTGGGTGTCTCGTCTCAGCCTCAGGAGTGTGGGCTATGGGGAAGAAGGGAGAGTGAGCGGACCTGGGGCCCAGGCAAGGGTTGGGGAGGCCTGGAAGGGGCACTGGGGAGGCCTGGAAGGGGCGCTGCAGGTGCTCTTACCGTCAAGCCAGGCTCGGCTTCGGCTGTGTCCTGGGCTTGCAGGGCTGTAAGCTGTCTTGTCTGTGGGAGCAGAAGGGGTGGTGAGGATGGCCAGGGCCCAGCGGAACTCTCAGACTTATCCCTACACACCAGCTCCTCCCCGAGGGTCAGTGTCCTGGGGCTCTGTGGGTATCCTAGGAGCTGACCCGCCGTCCGGCCTTTTTTCCCCCTTGCTCACACAGCTCTTCCCATAGACGCCCCAGATCTGTCTCCTCTCTCCACAGTTACTCTCCTTGGGAACGTCGCCCTTCCTGGCTTGCTGCCACCCCCACCTGGAACAAGGCTTCCTGGGTCTTGCCCCATACATGTGTTCCCCGTGCCTTATCAGTCGGCTTAAAAGCCTGGGGGGCTCCCCTTGCACGTGGAGCAAAGTCAGTATTTCTAGTCGTCCACAAGACTCGGCACGTCCCCTCCTCCAACTCCTCTCCAAGTACAGTCCCCTTCACTCATGACACCTTCTGATCCTTGGGGATGTTCACCACACTTGCCCTCTCCCAGGCCTTTGCTTGCCGTCCCTTTCTCTTTTCCTCCCAGTCCTAGGTCAAATTTCTTTTTCTCACCAAATACTCCCGCTTCGCCGCCAGCCCTTCATCCCGTCTGAAGTCCTCCCCTGACCCCTCCTGGTCCCTCTAGTATCATCATCATTTTCCATTATCCATGGAGAGCATTTACCAAGACACAATGATCTCATTTATGTTTTGATGGTTCAGGGACTAATTCCCTGACTGGGATGTAAGCTCCGCAAGAGGAAAACTCTACCTTGTTCGCGGGGCACTCCCCACTGTCCAGAATTGGACTTAGCAAGGAGGCACGCCGCCCACTGTGGAATTCATCTGGGGTCTCCAGTCCCTGATACTCAGGACCTCCGCTCTGTACTTTGGGCAGCTCCCCGTCCCCCCTTGCCCTGCCGTGAGCTCTGCCCCATGCTGAGGGGTCTCCAGCTGCCCTCAGCACTGCCCCCCCCCCCCCAAGGGCCTGGCTCTCCAATGGTCTTGGTCGCTGAGCTGGACCCAGGCCCTGCAGACTCACCTGGTGCGGAAGAACCGAGCCACTGGCCAGACTGGCCAGGAGGAGGAACAGGAGGCCGGCAGCCTGGATCTGCGGGCTCAGTACCATCGTGCCGTCTGTCTGGCTGTTCGGCTGTCCTGCTGTTAGGTTCAGGACCGGCTGTGGTGTCTGGTCCCCCGTTTCAGTGGCTTTTATGGGTGCTTCTGGAGGAGGCGGGGGTGGTAAGCCCCCCCCCCCCGCCCCTTTTGTCCTAACTCATTTCCAAGAAGGTGGTGGCGCCGACAAGACGGGAGATAAGCGGGAACAGAGTGACAGGGAACAGTGTTATGTCACCCTTAGCAGAGGTGTGTCTGGGGGTGGGGCAGACGGGCCACCTGGGAAACACTTTCCCTGACAGGGCATCACCCGGTTGACCTCAGAAAAAGAATTTCCCCCTTTGACCCAGAAGTTGAACGGGTCGATGAGCAGGAGTGAAGTGACCTCCTATTCCCCACCCTTTCTCGATGTCCTCATCCCCTGGGAGGCTGGCCGTCACTTACAGGCCACCCTGGGGGTGCCGAGTGTAATTCCTACTGCTTCAGGCTCCCCTCTCACAGGCGAAGATCCCAGCAGGAAACACTGGGCAGCCAGACGCACGAGTTTATGTCGGCACAAGCCCCCAGCGTGCGGGTGATTTTCGAGTATCAGAATTTCTTTGCAACTTGGGCCTAGAGGAGCCAGAAGTATTCGTTAGTTGCTAACATTGGACGCCGCCTCTTTTATGCCAGATATACTGACCCACGTCCGAAGCACCTGTCCTCCAAGCAGCTCCTGCCGGCCCTGTGCTGGGCTCTGCTCTGCATTCAGAGACCCCCGCTGCCTCCTTTGCCACTAATCCCCCGAGGCCTGGCTGCCCAGACCCTGCTCCCTCTTAGCACAGCACCCACCCGGTCATCTTCGCTTTCTAGGAGCTGCAGGAAGAGACTGGGGCCCTGCTCAAGCTCCCCCGGTCGGAGGCCAGGGCTAGGGTTAGAGCTAGGCTAGAGCTAGGGTTCCAGCCTGAGCTGCCTGACTCGGGGGCCTGTGTTCTCACCATTTGGCTCTCGTCTCCCCTCAAGCACAGGAGGGCACAGGGGAGCACGCTAGACTGGGCCCGCCCTGGCGCTGGGAATCCAGCAGTGGTGGGAGTATTTCAACCCTAGACATCGGCTGACTCTATAAACCTGGGCCTTTTTTCTTGAGAGCTGGTTCTCCAGCACGTCACCGATGGAGACGAGGCAGGTGGCCTGACCTGGCAACCTCACTCCCACAAACTCTGAGCCATCTCTGGGTGCATGTAGTCCAGGGAACCACAGCCCTGATTCCAAAGACAGGCCTCTGGCCCGCGGCCTCCCTGACTCACTTGGGGACCACCCAGGCAGGGTCAGCTCCAGCCTAAGGGCCTGTGGGCGATGCTGCCAAGGAACGAACACTCCCCTCAGCCCTGACCTGCTTGCCAAGGCCCACTCGAAACCACAGAAGTGGGGGGAGTGGGGTCTGGGAAGTGCAGGCCGCCCCCTGCACCAAACATCTTCGCTCTAACGGCCTCAGTCAGAGGGGTAAAGGGAGACAGGGCCCGTCACGGGGCAGACCAGTTGGGAGCATCTGGGATGAGGAGCAGGTGGAGAGGTGGGCCAGGTGAGCAGGAGGACCAGCCTCCATCCTGGGGGTTGCACGGGGCCGCGCTGCACACTCAGCCCCGGGGAGACGCAGCGGCGTCCCCCAGCAGCCCCAGGCAGCACAGCATCGCAGCTGAGGCCAGGTTTCATCACTAGCCGGGGCAGGGGTCACAGTGCAGGCGCCAGAGCCATGGGGTGAGGCGACAGGCTGCCGGGCCAAGCCCAGCTTCCTGGCCATCTGCCCTTCCTGGGGGTGGGGGGCTCAAGGCCAGGCTCCACCATTGGCTGGTACAGAGGGGAGGGCTTCAACCCTTAAGGGCAGGGTCAGAAGCCAGTGCTGTTTTTAGTAACAGATGACAGGAGAGACCCCAGCCTCTCCTCCGAAAACATGAGACATGTCCTTGACACTAGTGCCCCACGCCCCCACACCACATATGCGCACCTGGAGCCTCAAAGGAGATAGTCCTTAATTTCTCCACCCATCTGACCCACCGACAGACCGGGGTCCACAGCCACACACATGGAGGCCATGCTCCCAGAGTTGCCCTCGCAGAGCTCTGCCTGGACGGCGGGCTCCCTCCCCACACCCAAGATGGACAGAGACACAGACAGACAAGGCGGGGCCACATGGGGCCAGTTTATTGCAGTTAAATACCTCTCTCTCTCTCTATTTTTTTTTGTCCACTTTTCCATAAAGAAAATTAAAACACACACACACACTCAAAGGGGAGCAGGGATCCAGAAACAAGAGGTGGGGTGGGACATGGCCTCCCTGCGTAGGTCCAGGCCCCGGGGATGGCCCCCTAAAGACTCCCCTCCTTCCCTAAAGCACCCTGTCTCAGTACCTCTAGAGACCAAGGAGGCAGCGGGATATGGCAGGGTCTCTGTCCTCTTCCCTCGTGCCTCCAGGCAAGACCACTAGAAGTGCTGGGGCTTCATGGGGGCGGGAGAAGGGAGACAGACAGAAGGGGGAGGGAGGATATCGTTTCCCAAGTTGAGGAGAGCAGTGGGTGCTTATCCACAGAAATGCATTATTTCTCCCCGTTTTGTTAAAAATCTACTATAAAAAAACGCAGCTGGGGGAGGGGCGTCTGTCCCTCTCTGTGCTAAGGGCTGGGGAAGGGGCGGCAGGGGCCGGAGGGGCCCCCGCCGCGCAGTGGGGTGGGCGTCACTGCCGCGCGCTTTCGCCCACCATCTCCAGGTTGTGCTGCTGCAGCTGGGCACGGAGCACGGCGTTCTCATTCTTCAGCTCCTCGATCTGGTACACATAACATGACAGGGGGACCCGCCAGGGGACGAGGAGCCAGGGGCTGGCTCCCCGCACCTGGGCTGGCTCCGCCCCGGCCCCGCCCATCGCGCCCCTCACCTGCTGCCTTAGGAGCTCATTGTCCATCTGCAGCCGCTCCGCCTCCTTGAAGGTCTCCTGCATGCGCTGGTTGGTCTGGCGCAGCTCCCGGATGTAGTCGCAGGCCTTTGACAGGATCCCTCCTTTACTCTGGGGGGTGGGCAAGGGCGCCAGTGAGCGCCACCCGCCAGTTGGCCCCGGATGGTGCCTGCCCAAGCCCAGGGGCCAGGCCAGGCTGACGTTCTCGAAGGGGCAGGGCCCCGGCCCGGGCGGTATGGGGGTCCGGAGGACCAGGGTGGGAGCGGGGGGCACCTACCGCTCCCGTCTTGCTGTTGTCTGCGTTACAGTCTGGAATGATTTTGGAAAGTTGGACGATCCAGTTGTTGATCTTGTCCCTCCGCCTCCGCTCCACTGCAAGAGGTAAGAGGAGCGTCGGCGGCGGTGCTCCGGGAACCTTCCTGCATGCCAGGCGCTCTCCCACCAGCGCGGACGGGGACAGCCCAGCAGCGCCCAGTCGCAGGCACCTGCGCCCCACGTCCCGCTGCTTCTCGAGAGGAACAAGGTCTCGGCCTCAAGGGCCACGCACATACCTTTAGGGCAGAACAACAGCTGGGGACGGCAGGTTCATTTTGTTGACCAGCCTGGCATATTTTAAAAATCGGAGCCAACATTTAAATTAATGTTACGTGAAATTAAATTTCATGTAGTAATTGGCATCTTCTGAAAAATGGGAGTTGTGGCTTGTGTTCTTGGGAGGCGGGAACCAGCCAGCGCCCCTTTCCACAGGCCCCGGGCGCCCCCATCTGCTCCCCCCACAGCCACTGCCTTCCATTTTTCAGTGCTCAGGCCTTCCTTCAGGCTCCCCAAGGTTGTCTTTGCTTTATCTTTAAAATCACAGTCTGACCATGTCTCTCCCCTAGCTAAAATCCCTCTCCAGAGCCCGGGCAGTGAGTCCCAGGCTGCCCAGGCTGGCATTTGTGGCTCTCGGGGGCCTGGCCCCACCAGGCACTGAGTCCCCCAAGAGCAATGTGAATTCTACCTTGAAGGCCAGGGCTGACAGGCCAATGGAAGACGACTTCTGAAAAATCCAGACTTGTGATTTAATTGTCTAACACTCAGCAATCTTACCCAAACTCTGTCAGCTGACCTGAGTGGCAGGTACCCCATCCAGATGGGGCACATGCCTTCTCTCCGGCTTCTCATCGGGCTCATGTCACAGCCTTATGAGACAGCTGCTCGGGGTCTGCCCTCACTGGTGCCTCACACCAGGGTTCAGGGCCCACAGAAGCAAAGCTGGGCTAGAATCTTCCTCACCTTCCAAGTGCAATCCTAGGCGCTGGTGTGGACACACCCAAGAAGGCCCAGACACCTTCCCCAACCATCACACACCCTCCTCCTCCCTCCTGCCAAGACAGCTCACGGACAGATGCCGCCTATAGGTGGGATGTGCAAAGCGGGGCAAAGGAGTATCTTCTCGGGGCTGGGCAGTGCTGGTGGGGGTTGCCAGAAGGGGTCTGGGCGAGAGTGAAAAAGCAGGGTGGGCCAGAATCACACCCCTCACTCCTCATGGGCTCTGAGGCTGGTCCATGCCGTTGACCCCGCTGTTCTCACAAAACATGCCTGGCTGCTCATTGGCTAATCCCATGCTGGCTGCGGGCACTTGGCTCTGCCTGCCCATCTCAAGTCCCCTCCCAAGTCCAGGTACCCCCTGCTCCGGCTTGGATTAGGACACCCTCCTCCAGGGAGGGACTCTCCTCCTCCCTGGTCCCTCTTCCTCTCCAGGACTCCACTTCAGCCACCAGTCGCCCTGGGGTGAGTATGCAATGCCCAGGTCCCATCACCACTGGGAAGAGTTGCAGTTCCCCACGGAGGATGGCCACGTCCTACAGCCTGGAAACTCTGTGGCTAAATACCTCAGTGGAACTGAGAGTCTGCCCGGGCCTGGCGGCGCTGGCCACCCCATCCCTGAAGAGAGCAGTGCGCTCTATGTCCAGGGTTCAGCAGAGGAACGCAACAGCGGACGGCCTCTCGGCTTCCTGCTCTCCCCTCATGCGGTCTGGCATTCTCAAGCCCGGGTACCAGGCTTCCTACCTTGGAATCCTCCCTTCCAGCCAGCAGAGGGCAGGGGTGTGGGGGTGGGGGGCAGGCACATCTTCTCCAGTTTGCATTCACTTTAAACTTACTGCCTGCCTGGGGCGCCTGGGAGGCTTAGCATCTGACTCATGGTTTCGGCTCAGGTCACCATATCAAAGGGTTGTGGGATTGAGCCCCAGGTTGCGCTTGTACTCAGCAGGGAGTCTGCTTGAGATTCTCTCCCTCTGCACCCCCAAATAAATAAAATTAAAAAAAAAAAAAAACCCAAACCAAAAAACCTTTCTGCCTGCCCGACTGTGTGCAGGGGGGCACCCTGCAAGCCCGGAGTCTGCGGCGGACTCTGACTCCGCCCCACTGGTGCTCGCGGCACCCCATGCGATGCGCGTGAACAGGGGACACGGAAACCGCTGGCGTGTTAAGACTGAAGGTTGCACCACGTGCCTGGGGGCATGCCAG